GGGAAAAAAAAAGAATTGATGAACCTTGGAACCATCAGTAAAAAAAAAAAAAAAAAAAAAAAAAAAAAGGATGTCGTAACCTTTGTCGTCGTTCAATCGTCGGTCAACCACTGAACCATTGGGTCCGGGGGCCTGGGGCCTGGACCCACTAGCAAGGTATTCTATCATGCTGTTCGGGATTTCGATCACGTGTGGCATCGAGTGACTCAGTACGGCCGTCGAATACATCAGATCTCGACGGCCTGGTAGTTTCCGAGCGGGACTGTAAAGATGCCCACCTCCCGTCCAATGAGATGGCATTGCGTCGAAAAAAGGAAAAAAAACAAGTTGGACTAACCTGGACATGATAGCTCGTGGCTTTGCGTGGGCGGGAAGTCTGAATTTTATGGGCTCTAAAGGGGGGGGGTTGATTTCCAGACTTCGTTTTTTTTATTTTTTTGGCTCTGAGAAATAGAACTTGAAATGTGAAATTCGAATATTGTGGTGGATCTGACAGGAAGGGTTCCGCGTCTGTCGGATGGCCTGCTAAAGGCATCATGAGATACATGGCGAGGAATGTATCCCAGCACCTGTTACTTGTTCATCCTCGTGAATGTGTTTGTGGACACATTTTATTGCCACGGTACATCACTATGAAGACTTAGGTGAAGGAAATCGTACCAACCCATGAATTCGGGTGCACAGCTGTTCTTCATAGTTTTATGTGCTATTTCAATTCATTTTAAATCAGAAAACGATCCATTCATGCAAATAAAAAATCACTTTGTATTTTCCAACAAACCATAAAACTGTGTCACACGTCGTAGGATACTTCGCTAGTGGGTCCAGGCCCCGGGCGTTACTTCGCCTACGGTGTTCACACAATTTCAAATAGAAAAAGCGCGCCAATGGGCCTCACTCCACTAACTCTCGAAATGTGCAAAACGAGAGTGAATCCTCCCGTGAGAACATGGAAAGACGCACCGCCATGATTTTTGCCTTTCGTGCATGTGGAGACTATCCACAGTGGAGCGATGACCAATCTCTCATGGAATGTCGGCCTTCTTGCTGTAGCCTCTAGATAGGTAGACGTCGATGAATTGGAAAGGCACACGGCGTCTTCATCACCAGGACGTCGTTGCGATCCCGCAGCAATACTGGTACACTCTCACATCTCCATCTGTTCTCCATTGTCATCGTCATCCTTGATTAAAAAAAAAAAAAAAAAAAAAAAAAAAAAAAAAAAAAAAAAAAAAAAAAAAAAGAAAGCACGGCAA